AATATGAATAGGAATAGTCTTTCATATGACACTGCGCAATCTGCGGCGTAGCCGTTACAATAATATATTTAGCGCATTACATGACTTCCATAGTAAGTTCGTTCTAATTGGTCAATATTAGCCAGGTAATTGATAGGTCCAAGATTTACTATCTCGCAACATCAAAAAATGTTGTTGCTAACAATAATAATTTTAAAAACCAATTCACTTGCCACAAAGTTGTATGGCCAAGATTTGTACATTTTTTATTTCATCTTTCATATCAGTTGGTAGAGATACTAACAATTCTTGGAACATGATAGAAATAGCTTCATGCAATTTGGATAAGTCACCTTTTGTTTTAGATGCATCTGTAATGGTGGCAGTTTCCATATAAATAAATTCGATGGTATTGATTATGGACATTATTCCATCATATTTTTTTGTGCTTTCTTGGATTTTCTACTATGGCCTTCTGAACCTTGCTAACAACCTCTCCACTATTCAAGAACAATAAACATAAAAAATTTGTTGAGATGATAATAATAACAAAAAAAAATCTTATCAATGATTACCATTGAAGAACAAATTCTGTAAGTGTTAACAAACAATCATCAAATAATGGAGTTATGGTGTTGCTGTTATACCAGCCTTCAGGTAACTCAGGATTATCCAAGTGTAAAATATTGTTGTTTTTGAATAATAAAAAGTTGTATGCGAAATAAATAATGTTAAATGTTGATGATAATCAAACTTTCATAATAACAGTACAAAAATTAGATACAATTTTTCAAAAAGCCTCTTTATGTAAATGATATCTTGATCAACATTTGTATAGTCTATCTCAATACTTGACAATGTTTTGGCCAATTTATCCATACTAGTCTGAATGTGATCATAAATAAATAATAAAAGTATAAATTTCATTTAAATCATCTATTATTGAATTTCACTTTTATTAAGATTACTTATAACATTCAATTCTTTGAGTAGCTTTAGGGTTGCCTTGGTATTTGATTTTTTTTGGTTTAGACCTGTCTAGAGATTCCTCAAAATAACATTTTACAGAAGGTCCTAACTAGGGTTTGTATTCACAGATGCCATGAATATCATTAAGGGAGTTACACACTTAAAAAAACTTGATTTTAACCCTGTGTGACCTCCTTACAGTATCCGTGAATACAAACCCTAGTCCTAATGCAATTTGTACATTTACATCATTAAGGTCAATAATACCACATTTAAGTGATAATGACAGTTTGCATCTTGATTTATAAAACTTTTCATGTAATTCAAGAAACTTTCTTTCAATATCAACATTTTCAATGACATGATCAAAATTCCAAGGTCCTAAAAATTTATCTTTTGGTGTAGTATTTTCTTTGTCATCTCTAAGTAATATAAAAGAATCAAAATTTTAATATGTGATGATGAGTGGTGATAACCATCACCATTTTTATGATAAACACTTACTCATGAATTGCACCAAGTTTATTTTCACTTATTCTTTTGTTATTGTTGCATTTGTTGGATTAAGGATTAAAAAAAAAAAATGCAAATTTAGATTATTTATACAAGTTTTTTTTGATAAATAAAATAAATTGCTTGGGCTTGTTAAAAGAAAGTTGTTAAATAAAAAGAAGTTGTAAAATAAAAATAGTTAAAATAATTTTTTGTTAAATTTAAATTTTCCATTAATTTACTTCTTTATTTATTATGATAACTAGAGTGACAATGAGTGGCAATAACCACCATTATTATGATAAACACTTACACTTTTGCTTGTCCTTTATCATTTGATTTTCTTTTCTTATCTTTTTTGTTAATTGAGATCGAAGACATTTTTTTATTATTTTTAAAGAAATACATAAAATAAATTATTATTATTGGCATTTGGTGTTGCACAAATTTTGTTTGCGCAAATTATTTTTTTTTTTTTTTTTGTAAAAACAATGGGCACCTTCAAAAATTATTAGATTGAGATTGAGATTGAGATTGAGATTGATTTCGATCTGAGATTGAGATTGAGACCGAATTTTAATATGAAATTTCAATCCAGGTCAGGTAGTAAGATTGAAAAAATAAAATAATAAAAAAAAATAAAATAATTTTTTTTAAAAAAAATGGAAAATATTGAAGTACCCAAAAAAACAAAGACATCAATACTAAAATCATTAGCATTGGTATTTGTAGGTTCAAGTCCAATTTATTTCTTTGATGATTAATAAAAGAGAAAAGAGATGTAAAAATTCCATTTTTAATTAATAATTGTCGATCATCTTGATAAAATAATTTTTGATCATGGATTGAAAATTTCAATTTCAATCCAATCTCAATCCAATCAAATATTCAATCTCAATCTCAATATAATAATTTTTGAAGGCACCCACTGATTGTATATGGGACATTGCATGATTTGAAAAAAACCATGCACATTATGCACATGATGCAATGTGTATTGCATTTTTTTCATGCACATGTCACATCTCTAGCTCCATACATGTATGGTCCACTCGTATCACAACGATTTTATTGGCTAAAATTTGTACACGTAATAAATTTTAAAACTCAAATTTAATACCCTTTGTGTCACTTTGATGGTTTCTTTATTGTAATAAAAGTCTTTACAAAAAAAAATTCTTCCCACACCCATCTTTAAATGCTGGAATACCAAAACAAGTTTAACTAAAATGTATTATGGTTAGATGAAGCTAGAAAGGATCCTACATGGTGATCTGCCTTAAAAAATGAGGTGCCAGCATTTTCTGAATTTACTGCTAAACTTATGTCAATTCCCGCTCATCAGCAGCAGCAGAAAGAAATTGGGCCATTTTGGCTTTGTTCATAGACTGACTGATGACAGAGTTTTAAGTTGATTTATATATTCAAATCTTCATTTGAATGACAAAGTATTGAATCATTAAATCTTCCATTTTTATACTTTGTGCTACGTATGACTGTCATTTCCCCGAGTGGTTTCACACAAGTATTATGTAATCGTTAGATTATGGTGATCTTTCCAAAAAAGCAACGTTATTTCATGTCTAACAAAAATTTTTAGCACATATTATGAGCTACACAAAATCTATGTATGTTCAAATCGTGCAAAAATAGCAAAAATAAAAAACAGTTTTTATTTATTATCTTATTATGGCACATAGATAATTTATTCGTTTATTATATATATTAATTTGTAGAGTTAAGAAAATTTATTCTCAAATACTTTTTCTCTCGAAAATAATGCCTATAAAATTTTTTTTTGAAATATTCGATATTTTGTAACTTAAAAGCCAATAATTTAATTTTTATTGAAAATCACAGTTTCTTTATCTTAAATATTATTTAGGAAAAAATATTTTTCTCTTGATATAAAGAACCGATACCTGATATTTCAAATATTAATATCAGTGCATATCGTAGGATTACACCTTGTAATTTTTTAAAATATAAAGTTGAATGTTACATTTTCTCAAAAATAGATTGATTGATATTATTCACAATAAAAAAATGCTTATAACAAACAAACAAATAAGTGGCGTCTAAATGTTTGTGTGTAACCGCACAGAAAAAAAAAACAATAATAATAATAATAATAATAATTATTATGATAAATAATTCGTTTTATTTTTTTATTTTTGGTTTGTTTTTTAAATAATATTATATAAAAGGCAAAAGGAAATTACTTGAACATAATATGCAGATATATTTATAGAACTATTACTAATAGTTGCTGGTGCTAATGCTGTTACTAATACCAATACTACTAGCAGCTAAAGATCGGATCAATATTTTGTTATTTTATTATTGTTGTTTATATTAATAACAATAACAAAAATTTAACGTAATAAAAACATCCTTTGTTCTAAAATTTTTGCATGTTTGTTTTTTTTACACGCATAATATATCCGAAATAACGCGCGACTTCTTAATCACGTGATAAAAATATACTTGAATATTTATAATTACGTGATTATAACAATTGGCATAGATTATTTGTTCACAAGATAAAATCATGAATATTTATTTATTTACTAATAATAGTTATCTAAAATAAGAATAATTGATCTATACACAGACGGGCGAGGATAATGATTTCCGAAACACAAATACTATGAGAATGATGAAGATAGAGTTACTATTGATGCTTTGATAGAATCTATATTTCTCAACATTATTATATTTATTGAAGTTTAAGGTTTTCCTGCTCGTTTGTAATGGCATTAATATAAAAAGTATTACAACATCGATTAAATATTTTCGTTCCAAAGGTTTGTTGGATCAAAAGTTAGAACTCTAAAATAATTGATTTTTAAACAACGGCGACATGTTTATTGATTGTTTCCCAAGTAATAAGATTTTCATCAAAAACAAATTATTCAAATTAATTAAGTTTGATTATTTGTGAAAACATATTTCTTTTTGCTCTTATGAGAGAATCTTTTGATTAGATAGGTTGTATAGAATATTCCTTTTATTATAATATATATATATTTAGATTAATCAAAAACTGGAAATTTTATTATAAACAGCTCCGCCAAATATAGTAAAACGAAAAAAATCTTTAAATCATTAATAAGTGATAATTATGTATACGTGCACAGGAAAAGATCCTATCTATTCAATATTAATTACGAATTGATTTATATGTCATTCAATGTTTATATATATAATAGCAATAATGGTTTTTAACCAATTAAAATCATAGCCAACACTTTTAAATGAAAAAAAAATATACTCAATGGCATCGATAAATTCCCTTATTCTCTATATAAGTAGGAAATGAATTTTAATAAATGAAATAAAAGTGACAACGATAAACTGTATTTTTGAATCGAATGTTTTAATTTTGGTGAAAATGAATTCATCAGCCACTTTTGAATAACATAATGGTGATCATAACTGGTTTTGGCCACATATCTAATTGTTTGTTTTTTTTTAATTACCGAATAATTTCGTAACACCATCATCAAAAGGGAATTATAAATAAATCGAACTTGCAATTTTTTCAGAGAATGTAAATAAATACCAAGTACACTTATTTCTTCTAAACTTTCATTTAAAATATTTACATATCTTTCTGCTTATTATTAAAAAATTCGAAAAAAAAAACCCTCGTCCTTTTTTTTAATTTTTTTTTCCCAAAATGCAAAAATCCTCCCCACCTTTTCAAAAATCATACAAACGTCACAACAGCCAAAAGGCTGAAATCCCTTATCAACAACGTATCAACATGAATAAGGTCAATCCATCCCAATCAACAGGATATTCCTCTTCACGTAGAATTATCAGCCCGCCTCCTCAACTTAAATTACCTTTTCCTCCTCGCATAATTCCTGAGGATTTGATCAACGAAAAAACCATGAAACTACCATCAAAGCCCCCTAATTCCTTTTTCATTTATCGAAAAGCTTACACTAAAGAACTTG